TTTTTTTTTTTTTTTTTTTTTTTTAAAGAATGAGAAAAAATTTTCCAGAATTTTCTTCCTACTTTACCTTCCTTCACATCTCAGTAGTCAGAACTGTGTCAAATGCTCACTTTAAACCTATCACCAGGAGTGACTTAGACCAGTGAGAATCTCCCTGGGCATAAGACATACCCTCTGGGGCCAAAGCCATGTAAATGAGGGTCTCATGACTAAACCAGATTCAGGTCTGCTAGCACACAGGGAAGTGGAAAGGCTAACCGATTAGGAGATTTGGAATCTCTAGCTCTGAAGGTCCTCAGTGACTTGCAAAACTTCCTAAAAGAAGAGTCTGTGTCTATGCAAACATAAATGCACACATACATACCAGATTCTCAGCATGTCTTTTTTAAATACTTTAATTTTGTTTGTTTATTTTTATGTGGTGCTGAGGATCGAATCCAGAGCCTCACACATGTGAGGCAGGCGCTGTACCACTGAGCCACAACCCCAGGTCCCTCACCATGTTTTTAAAGGAAAAAGTACATTAAATACATGCAACTGTTTTGTCTAAGATCGGCCCTCAGCTTTTGCTCGTTCTCTGTGACCCTGGACGGTTTCCTTAAGTGTTCTGTGCATCAAATTCTTCATCTGGTCTCCACGGGTGTCTTCCTGATGGCTGTGATATCAGGAGAGCTTTTGGGTTCCTAGAAGGTGGGGCATTGGGTGATGCAGACGTTTGAGGGACATGTTGCTGACCAGGATGTCCCACTGAGCACACAGTGAAGTGCCGTGGATATGGCCACGTTCTCAGCCAAGTCATTTGGTGCCTGGAGTGGTGGTGTCCAGCTCTGGCTAGATTTGCCGGCTGGGGCACCCAGGGTGTGTCAGTAGTTCCTCAGTCCCTCCTCAAGATTCTCTACTCCCAAAATGCCTTGTTGATGCCTTCTCCACGCCCAAATATGTGAGCATCTCCTTTTCCGTGAGCAGTGCATCTTGCGGGTTCCTCTTTGATTCTTTCATAGTGGTGCAGAGAATCTTAATGGGAGGCATTCAGAGTGGCACAGTGAAACTTGCTGTTCCCTGGGGATGGTTCTTAAAGGCACAGGAAGTTGTGTGTTTATACCTTCCTATTCTGTGCACAGTTGACCTCGCAGCCAGCTAAAAGCATGTGCTTGCTCAGAACACATCTGGTGGAGTCCTTCCTCCAGTGGCCGCGGGGGTCTTCCCTTCTGACCAGCACAGCAAGACTGAGGGGTGCATCTTATGACCACAACTTCTGTGGAGATGCCAGTGCTCAAAGTGGCCACCGTTTACAACTTGGACCACTGGAATGTCACCGGGAACAGCCCCTTTCTTGAGACCAACAACACTTCAGTGTTCCCAAAATATCCAAGACCCTTTTCCTTTGTCACTCACCCAGTAGGAACCGCCAGTATTCATAGGATCCATGCTCCTGCAGTGCATTCCCTTTTGTACTCCTTCAGGCAACCAAGAAATCCAGCTTATGACATTTAGTGGCCTTTGGTGAAAACAAAACCCGGGTCAGAGTGACCCCTGGGCTGTAGTGTCTGTACTTATATGGTTTGGAATATTTATAGCAGTGAGGAGTCCTAAACCAGAGTGTGGAAAGGGATCTTTTAGTAACTATGTAGCTCTGTAACCATGCCTTGCTCTTCTGCTTGGGCCAGTGCTAAGTTCGAATTCTTGCTGAAGATTTGTATCTGCACTTCTATAACCCACCAGGAGGGCTCTGTTTGTAAGGTCTCAGGGCAGCTGCTGTTCCTGTCACTGCCCCAGGGGCCTTTCCCTTTTCTCTGGACCTGGGGAACCCCCAAAGTAGATTTTGCTGGTGGCCCTGCAGACTTTGTAATCTGATGGGAAGTGGTTGCTTACCCAGGGCTTCCCAGCAGGACCAGAGTCCTAGCTGGGCACAGGATCACCAGGAGCTGGTCCACGCTCAGCAGCAAGCTGGTTTCCTGTGGATCCCAGGCTTTGCTGGCTTTCACATGTAGACAAGATGTCTTCATTGCTTGGGGAGCAGCAGGTGTAGGCTAGAGTAATCATTAAAAGCTGCTGGTGATTACACTTTAAAGGTCTCAAATAGAATAATCCTTAAGAAGCTGTTTGGCATTATCTTGGAGAGTGGATCATGTATAGACCCCACAAGCCAGCAATTTTATTTCTAGATATCTTCCTAATGGGGAATCTTGAAAGATCTTAAATACCAGATGATAATACCATATTCCATCACATAAACATTACAGATTTTATACTAATTGTCTTTTTAAATTTTTTATAATTAGTCATACATGACAGTAGAATGCACTTTGACACATACAGAAATGGAGCATAACTTCTCATTCTGATTGTATATGATGGAGAATCACAACGGTCAGGTAGTTATATGTGCACCTAGGGTAGTAATGTTCAATTTATGCTAATTGTTTTTTTTTAACAAAAAAGTGAGGGGAAACTTTTATTGAAAAAATTGTGCTGATATTACTTAATCATTTATTACTAAACTAGTTTTCTTACAAGATTAGGAATGCTTGTGAATATATGTTAATGTGATCATTCAGTAAAATATGGTGTATAATGTGATTCTGGTTAAACAAATAAGAAAAATAAATAGTATATTATTTGGAATAGGGCATGTGATAGAACTATTTTAACTGTGGGCTTAGCTACCACAAGCCTCCCTGTGGGCATGGTGCAGTTTCTAATTTGGTGTTTATCACACTATGATGAAATTTCAATGACTTAAACATTTGTCACATGTATAGGTTATTACGCTAAATGAGAGAACCCGAGTTTTTTTCTAATGAGCTATCATTTACCTGAACACGGAGGGATGAACGCGGAGGCTCTGAGAGAATGGGTAAATTATCCAAGGTCCTGCAACCATTCAGGAGTCAGAAATATCTAGAATGATGTTTGACCGACTCTCTGGATGCTGCTGCCTAGCCAAGTTGACAAAATCAACCACTGCATTGCTGCTGGCAGAAGCCGTTTGGTAAACTAAGAATAGAGAAGAGCCTGGGGTGGGTATTTGGGGTTCAGTGCTTCTAGAGAGGGAGGAAGACGTTCTCAGTCTTCACCTGCAGCCTCTGAGCTGCCGTGTGTCAGGGGTTCAGCCTTTTCCATCCCATTCCACCCCACCCATGATCTGGGCTTGGCAACCTTTAGGCTCTTGATCCCCTCCCTAGGTGACATTTGTTTTGCTACTGGCTTTTACCTTCTAGGGAGGTGAAGGCTGGGAAGAAGTGAATGAGGGTGTGCACTGGTGTCTGGCCTGTCCTGGGGCAGAGTTCCCAGCTGCCCCTGGTTTCCTACTCAAGCACCTCTTTCCCCACGTTGTGGGAGAGCACCTTCCCCTTCCGCCCAGCTTGTCCTTTATTAGAGCCTAGTTTCTGTGCGTGTATGTGACATGTGCACTCAGGAGGAGAAACAAGCACCCGCAGGTGGGTTATGTATCAACTCCTGGGGGTTAAGCCATTCCCCAGTGTTACTCGCCATCACATGCTAGTCTGCAGTTTCCTCTGGCCTCTCACTGAAGCCCTGAGCCCCTTTCCACTCTGGGGCCACATAGTCACATCTCTGACAATGCTTCTGCATAGGCTTCAAGTCCTTTTCCTTGATGATGATTGCACCTTGGTGCTTGGCCAGCTTGAGCGTTTGGTGAGAAGCCTTTGAGAAACAGTGTTAGGGTGAAGGTCATCCAGGACAAGAGGAAGGTTCCACATCACCTTGAGAGCACATCTCTGTCATGTGTTGATTCATTTTTTTTTATACCAATGATTATGTGTCTGACACTGTGCTAGGTGCTGTGCTCGTGAATTCTCATGATGTGTTATGTATACATTGTATGCTCTTGTGTTGTGGCCTGAAGTAGGAGGGGTTCACGGCTCTTTCATGAACTGAATGTGGAGGGTGAATGGCTGGGGTCTCTGATCTGGTCTGGGGCCCTGGCGATGTCCCAGCAGGAGAGAATGCTGAAGCGGACTCCCGAGGTGCTGTCCAGGCTTGGGCAGGGGGAGAAGAGCATTCAGGAGGCCTGTATGTATCATATAGGCCTTGAAGCCATAGGTATGGTGAATGTAAGGAAAAAACAAGGCCAGTCTAATGCAGACAGCTGGAATCACAGGTCTCTTCCAAGGGAGGGGGACTGAATGGCTACTTCACTGCAAAGGACCCTAGAATTTTATCAGATCTTCCAAGTTGGAAGTTGCTACATATTAGTGAACCGTAAATTCAGTTTGCTGAATTGCAATCAGCATTCAAATAAATAACAAGGGAAGAGGAGGTTGTCTGCAGTTGTGTGTTGTGCTTGAGTGTGAGGCACTTGGTTTTGATATAAAATGGTCCTCGTGTTGGGATCAGAAGCCCATTTCAGAGCTGGCTCCTGAGTTGGTCTTTGGGGTGAGCCAATCCCCTCTGTAGGCCCGTGATGCCTCTCCTGCTCCTGGCCATGGTTGGGGGCCACAGTTAGGAGCTAGAAATGTCTCAGTATTTGATTTCCAAACTCTGCTGATGAGGGCCTTGACCCTGTGCCCTTTGCTGTCCAGCCGTGGTCATTCCCTTATGTGTCCATCATGGGTATTTATGGACACTGTGCCCAGATGTGTAAGGCCCAGGCCTGCTCTCTGGACCTCCCCATCCGGCACGGAAGTTAGACCAGTGCCTGGACGATGCGTGTAAGGCATGTCAATGCTGAGAAGGTTGGAGGTGGACTCCACCGCGGAGGAGCCACCCAAGTCTCTAAAGAGAGGATCACCTGGTGAAGAAGTGGGGGAAGGGCATTCTGGGAAGGAGACACTGTGCAGGCAAAGGCCTGGAGTCCGAGCTGGGATTTCTCTGGACCATCGGTTGACATGCATGATGGGCTGGTAGAATGTGAGGGGCTGCTGGAGAAGGGGGCCGAGACCCTGTGCAGCAGACCAGTAAGAAGCCT